GACATTGAGGCTTTCTCAGCAAAAGCGGGGTTTCCTGCGAGGAGGGGCTAGCGAGGGAGGAAACGGGGTGGCCCTTGGGGTCCCAGCACTGCCCGAGAGGCTCCCATCTCTTCTCAGGGGAGGGGGCCAGAGAGGGGACAAAAGGCTGAGGAAACCTTAGCACCTGGGGAGGCTTTTGAAGAAAAGGGCTCAGCCGGAGTCTCCACGCTCCCTCGGCACTGCCAGCCTCCCCCGGGGACAGACTGTTCCAGGGCAGCTGCCCGAGGGAAATACTCAATCCCAACAGGCTTTGTCCCTGTTCTTTGCAGACCCCCAGGGAGCACCCTTCCTCAGCCCCGCTCCATGCCCTGCTGATGGCAGCCGTGAAGGGTCTGACAACACCCACCCTGCAGAGATTTAGAGCCGCAGAGGAAGAGCTGAGGGCCATCGTATCTCTCCACGGAGACAAGATGGAGAGAGTAAGAGACTCCCGCAATGGGGCAGGGGGATGCTGCGCAGAGAGGGGGATGGGAGAAGTTCCTCTCCTCGGAAACCATTCCTGGGACACTGGCATGGGATTGGAAGGTTGGCTCAGCCCCTTGCCATTCATCGCTTGGCCACGGGGATAGGCGACATTCAAGCCCTTCTCCAAAGACCGCCTGCACGTGGCGCGGAAGTGCAGACTTATTCCCTTCCTGGGCTTTGGCTTTCCTGGAAACTCTGAGACTAATCAATGAACAGAATCCTCAGCCTGAACTTCCTCCCCAACCTGCCTGTTCCTAGGGTTTCCTGCAGGTCATCCCTGTCTCTGCCCGAGTTCCTTCTTTCCAACAGGTCCCAGCGGGAAGTTAACAAATGGCCCCTCAATCAGCAGATTGATTTGTGCAGGGCTCTAACTCCTGCTAGCAGAACAGGTCAACAGAATCCAGCCACCCACCTTGGAGCTCCTGCTCCTTGTTCGAGAGAGGAAAGAGCAATGACCAATTCCTCACGGAAGAGTCCTAGGGGGTGGCTTGTCCCTTTAGGGTCTGTCTCCCTGTGTTGCAAACTCTGCAGCAGGAGCCTGAAAGCCTGGCCCTATGGACTTGGGCTCCCAGGGCTGGCACTGAGGGGCCAAAACAGCAATGCAGACTCTTCTGGGCTGGGGCTGGAACTTGATCTCTGAAGCCTGGGGAGGAGGGTGGCTTCAGAGCCTGGGCTCCAGCCCAAGTCACCTTGTCTGCACTGCTCTTCTAAGTGCCATAGCATGAATCCGAGGTTAGAGACTGGGGACTTAGGAGACTGGGGCCGGGAGCTGGCTAGCCCCACCCAACTAGCCCTGCCTCCCATCTCTGCCATGGGCTCTGGGATACATCGGTAGAACCAGCTGGGTCTGGAGCAGTGCTTCTCAACCTGTGGCCCGGTCAGCACAGAGCTGCGCCCCTTTGGGACATCCTCAGGGACAAACAGGTCGGATTGGATGTGTCCCACAATGGAACCTAGGTTGAGAACCACTGGTCTGGAGGAACGGATTGTGCAAGAAAGAGCTAAAAGGAAGTTGCAGAGATGGAGGAAAGGCTCCTGGAGGGAAGCCCTTGAGAGCGGGGCTGAGAGCCGTTTGCTACGGCAGGGAAGGCCCTGGGACATCAGGAGAGTTAGGACTGTGCGCACTCTAAGGTTTTGTGCGTGTTTTTGAGCTTGAAGGTGCTAACCCAGACCTCAGGAAGACTGGGGTTCCTGGACTTGTCAAAGCCTCTTAGGGAGCAGCCAAGATGGGCAACCGAGGTCAGAGGAGGCTTGCAGGGCTGCCAGGAGGGTTTCCCTGGGAGGAGGCCACTCATTGATAAATCCATCCCTCAACTTTCTGGCATTCTTCCAGGTTGGAGACGTCGTGGGAGGGATCTTAATCTGGCTCGACAACAGCTGTGATCCCAGAGCCAGAAGAGCAGTGCTCAGGGCCATGGCCTTGCTGGCTCGCTCCCACCCCCAGGACGTGGTTCTAACCTGTGTGGCTCACACGCTCTCATCGCACAGGTAGGGAGCTGCTTTGTTATCTCCTCAGTCCAGTAGTTCTCTTCCTGCTCCTACTGACAGGCCACAGGCCGGGAGGGGTCCGTGGGGCTCACACAGTTGGAGGGAGTTTCCTGCTGTGCAGAGAGCTGTCCACGCTTCCTAAGAGGAGATGGCCAGGCCCAGCCACTGAGGAGCCAACCCCTCCTCCTACACTCCCCGGGATGGAGACATGCCACTTTTCTGGAGAATTCCAACATTGTCCTGATTTCTATGGGTCACCCCACTTCCTCTCAGATCCAGTACAGGGCCAATCAATGATTTGGGGGCTCACTCAACATCCCTGGCTCATGAGGTCTGGCTGCTCCTTACTGCAGGAGAGAAGGCAGAGATGGAAAAGGCCCATGAGGCCCATCTGTCTATCCCCTGGAGACCAGTGCAGGATTCTTACCTGTCGTCAGACCCCCCAGTTATTCCATGGCTGAGGAATTGGTGACAAAATGCACTCATCCTTATGGAGCGGTGGGGCAGAGGTCAATCTCTTAAGACAGACATTTCCAGCCCTTATTGATCCAAAAGAAAAGAAAAGAAAATCAACAAAAAAATCATCCCCACATGACCAGATCCTAAATGCAGTGCAGCAAGCAGACAGCCAGCATTAATAGCTCTGAGAAGGGGGAGTGCCTCTTTCCACCTCAATAGATTGTTAACTTTCAGTCCTGCTGGTTATTGCTGATCACTTGGAAGGGTCAGCCAGCTGAGGGGTTTGTAACACAACCCCCATGTGTTCCTCGGGGCCATGAAACCCAACTGAACCCTAGCCAGAGGTCAAAAGTCCAGCTTTCCTTGGCATCTTCTGCAATGCAGTTCTGCACAGACCTGAGAGAAATTTGTGTCACACTGCAGAGCAAATTGAAGAGCGGCAGGAAAGAAATGGAACTTCTTACCCAATTCAGTTATCAGAGGAATACAGTGTTGGTTTTCAGATTTCTTTGAGTGTTTGATTTGTAAACCTTTCTGAATTTCAGAATCAGGTCTGAATTTCTTGGAACAGCCACAGTGCTTTCCAGGGGCTGTGCTCAGAAGTTACAGAAACTCGGCAGCATTGGCACAGAAGTTCAGTCAAGCTTCCGGAAGACCTTGCTTCCAGGCCATTTGCCCTTGAGTTGTCCAACCTAGGTCTCAATGTCCTAGGGCTTCACCACCACGTCCGACCTTCCTCACCAAACTTGGAAGTCAAATGACTGGAAGTCTTTTGGATCCATCTGCAGTCTTCCTCTGCAGATGCCTGCGGGGACAAGCAGGACTTAGATCCGCAAGAATGGAGGAGGGGGATTTCAGTCCTACTTTCCTTCCATCTCTGTCACATTGGGCTTTACAATCTCCTCTTCCAAGCTCTTGAATCTTCTCAGATCAGGGCATGTGCTGACTCACTCTCTGACCCTGTCCACCACACTGCAGTAGAATTGAGCTGCTAAGAGACACTTGGCCAAACGCTGGGTCTCCGTTATAGCCCCAAACAGCCAGAGGAACTCCAATGATGTCAGGCAAGTTTCTCGGGACTGACCCAAGTGTAACAGAGCAGAATTTTGCAGTCTGCGGGTCACAGTTTGGTGGTCATTCTGTGGTCAGTACATGGTCACTGTCTTGGAAAGAGTGGGTTAGCTTTAGAAACAAGAACCCATTAGGGGAAAGGAATAAATACAACTTTCTCTGAAGGGACTTGCCCTGCCTTAGCCTCCCTGCACCAGTGGCTGTCTCCTCTGGTATTCCAAGCCTCTCCCTGGGGAGGGCAAGAGATGGCCAAGCAGGAAAGCTCTGACGTGTGTTTCTGAATTTGCAGATGTGCCATTGAGTTGTGGAAGGCCTTGGGTGAAGAACCACAGCTCACCAGGGAGGTGCTGCAGCAGCTGCTGGACAAGCTCCAGCAGAGACGCCGGGAGGAGAAGAGCAGCCATGTGTCTCTGGCTGTAAGTGAGATTTGAGATGTCACCTTGCGAACCCGCCACCACAGGGAAGATGGTGCATCTGTGTGTGTGTGCGAGTTTCACCTCTTCTTACCTTCAGGCCATGGCTCCACCACACATTGAAGCCGACCTAACTTAAATGGGCAGACAGCCGCCACAGCGATTCCATCCCTGGTGTGTGTCCGCACTTTGCTGCTCGTGTCGGCAGTGCCCGTCCTCACCAGAAGGGCTTGTCTTGATTGTAGGGTCAGGGTGGGGCATTGTGGGAAGGCTCCTGAAAGCCAGTTGAGGAAAGCGACGTGGTGTCTGCACGGACGCTGCATCGACCTGACTGCATCGACCTGGACTCTCTGCCACGTGTGGAGGTGGAGTGACGAATTTGGCACCGAGGGGCAGTTCTGACGATGGGAAGGAAATTCCATCCTTAGGGGGATGCAGAGTGAGCGGCCTTGCGTTGACCTCACTCTGGAGTGTAGACCAGGCCTTAGTGTGTCCTCGCCACTTCCAATCAAACCAAAGAGGGGTCAGTAAAGTTTCCCCCAGGTCAAAGTTACACATCTGAAGTGGTTTATCTGCTGGTACCCTGGCTCAGTTGTCTTCTGCTCCAGATGGCCCTTTAGTGAACAGGTGCAGTTCAGGTGTCTCTTGGAAGTCTCCAAGTATCTGGCTCTGTAAACTGTGGCTAGAAATCTTCCCAACATGGCATCCTGAGAAGTCCAGTACTTTTGACTGGGCCAGAAACACTGGGCCTAGGAGAACGGATCTCCTCAGGATGGTTTCAGCCCTTCCAGTCATGGCTGGAAAGCCAAAGCACAGGCTCTGCACCAGAAAGAGAAATAATGGGGAATAACATCATCCAGACTCTTCTCATCTTTCCATCCTGCTTCCGTTCCAGGAATGGGGGAAGGTTCAGGAGCCTCCAAATGTCCCCACCCCTCTCAGAAGCCAATACTCTTTTGTAATACGCTGGAGAGGAAAGGAGACATGACAAAGGGACAATAGCGAATGGCAATGGGGACAGGTGGCAGATTGGGAGAGCTGAGTGAAATTCTTTCCCCCCTCCAGGCAATGAAGACCATTTATGAGCTCCTTTTCCTACGGGGATACCGAGAAGCCATCCTGCAAATGTATCCCCAGCTGCTCATTCTCTGCGTCAGGCAAGTGCAGTACGTGATGGATCAGCACTTGCCAGGGACCTACATGGCCAGGCAGACATCCAGCCCCGAGGAGGGATGCAGCTGCCTCAGTCTCCTAAGGTAATGCCTGAAAGGAAAAGGAAGAACAGATTTGTTGGGCTAAACACATGGGGGCTGTTCACGGCCATCAGTTGTTCGGGTGCTGTCGTTAGCCCAGGCTCAGTTGGGAGCAGGTCTCTCTTGAGGGAAAAGGGTTGAGAGCCGTGCATTCTTGTGAGTCACACTCGCTCATCTGACGCCGTCCACAGCCCAGCTGCTTTCCCTACACACTCAGGCAGCAGCCATGTTTGTGCATCCATCCACGTCTGCCACCCGCCAAAGGGTCAGTGCTTTCATCAGTGCCTGCTGAGCAAATCCGTGGGCCTCTCTCCCCGAACGCGGACAGAGCCACGCCGGCAGCACATGGGGACAGGCCCCGCAGGACGTCAGCCTCACAGGCAGACAGGAGGAAGAGGGACCAGTTCATCTGGTTCTGTGGGCACAGTTAGGGGCTTCCATCTGCACGGGAAAGAGAGAGCGCCAGAAGACACCTCAGGTGGCGTAAACTGATGGAGCTTTGCTCGATTCCACCAACAAAGGATCTGGACCCACATGCCCGCTTGAGTCCTGTTACCTGTCACAGTAAAGAATCAAGTATTCAACCATTGGGAGTGATGACACCAACCATTTGAAGAAGCTACAGTGTCCCTAACTGGTTCCAAAGTCAGTGAAACTGCAGTGTAGACAGGGTATCACACTGGATCGATCCTTGGGGAGGCTAGCTACTGCTGAGCATGCTGGGTGTCTCAGGACTTGTGCAGATTTGCCATGCTTGGGGCTGATCTCATTGCTTGACACTCTGTTTGTTTGTTTGTTTTTGTCTTTAGCACCTCAGTGGAGGCTGTGAAGACGCTTTTCTCCATGCCCGGCTACTGGAAGGAATTTGCCAGCATCCAGTTTCATCGGGGTTGGGACATGATAGCCTCCCGATATCACTACTCGCAGGGGGTTGGCCTGATTGCAAGGTAGGAGCTCAACGTTTCCTCTTCTTTGGGTCTCTCTTGGGAATGGGATTTCCGTGTGAAATAGTCCTCAGTTCCAGGCTGCCAGCTCAGCCCAGCAACTGGAGCTGAACGCTCTCTCCCCCTTGAGAATCAAAAGGGACTTTCTGTTCCATGTTCCAGAGCCATGATCGAGTTTGAGAACCCTCAGCTCCCTGCAGTTTTCAGAGAGGCAATCACCATCGTCCAGAGTGGGAAGGAGGAGGAGCAGAGAACTATCGCCCTGGCTTTCTGCACTGAGGTGAGATTCATGAGTTGACAGGCAGAAGTGGGCTTTCTGGAGAGCAGCTCAGGACAGGAAGCTCTAGGCTACATTGTCAGCAGCTTAGCAGCCCTACCGCCAGCTAGCTCCTCTCCGCACATGGATGGATGCGGGGCATGGCAAAGAGAGGGAGGGAGAGACAGGGTGAGATTGCTCCTGGCTGGATGTGCCCAGATGGGGTTATGGGACAAGAAGCCATGTTTCTCCAGTGCCCCAAGGCCATGCTTCTCTCCTCACCTTTTCCTGGGGTTCTGCTTTTCTTCTGCCCCACGGCTCTCTCCATGGCACTCAATGAGGTCTGGAGATTCCCCTTTCCCTGGGGGCTTATTTGTGACTTGTGCATTAGTCTAAATTTGGGGAAGGAACCAACTGAAACAGCAGCAATTGGCTCCCTACTCACCAGAGACTTTGCATAGGAGGAAGTGGCCCTTTGGGAAAGACGACTGTCCAGGGAACAGACCCCACAATAAGACCTCTGCTCCTCAACCTGATCTTCATTTGGCTCTTGCCAGTTTCTCCAGAGTCCTTCCATTGACACCATCCTGACAAGATCAGCCCTCCAGGCACAGCTCATGGACTGGACCAAAGATGCAAATTCCATCATACGGAGGCTCAGTCTGCGAGGCCTTGGCAGTATTGTGTTCCAGCCAGAAAAGGTGAGAGCCGGGGATTGCCCAGGGGACCCAGGAAGCCAATGTCCATCAAATAGCTCAGAAATGAGAGGGAGAGCCACACACAAGCCTTCTTGTTTAAAACACAGCCCTCAAATGGTGGAGGTGCTTTCAGAACAAATCAAGGCATGCCATGCTCCCTGCTCCCGTGAGCTGAGCCCTGATTGCAGATGGGATGCAATGGGGGAGGCGGGGTGAGCAAAGACAAAGGTGACAGTGAGCAACTGGCACAGAGTGACAGGAGAATGACTTTCTGCCCCGTTGGGGGGCTGTGCCCTCCGTGGTTTATCATCGGTGGCAGTGGTCCATCATGTGCTCCAGGTTGTCACCTGGGATAGTAATGAGCTGCCTTCTTCATTCCGGCAGGTGCAATTCTTACGGGCCCAGCTGCCAGCAATCCTGGCCATGTTTTGTGACAGGGATGGAAGGCGTGTCATGGAGGCCATGCATAAAGCTGCAGACATCATCCACCTCCTCAACAGGGAGGGGCTTGGCTCCATCTCCCAGGACATTGCTGTCAGCCTTCGCCCCTTCATTGATGACGTAAGGCTTGGAACCCGCAGAAGAAGCCCATTCCCCCGCTCCAGCTGTCTGTGATGCCCTTGTCTCTCTCTCCCCATCCCCTTCCTCCCGCCCCTCAGGCCTGCCATGGAGCCTCCAAGGAGTGCCCCCGCCATGGGTGGGGAATCTCCTGCTGAGCCACCTCCCTGTCAGAGCTCTTCTCTCCAAAGCTCAGCCTCAGTGCCATGCTCCCAGCCCCTGCTGCAGCCTGGCCTGGGGGAGAGGGGGCCTGGCACTGGGCAGATGACCAGCTGCCTGGAGAACACAGGCCCCCAAAGAGGTGGAGATTCTCAGCAGGAAAGAGGTGGGTCGGGAATGGCCCGGCTCTCAGGGGCACCCAAGAGCCAAAGAAATGCTGTCTTTTGGAGCAGCCAGTCCCTGCCAGGCTCCAGCAGCTGCTTCTCCCCTTCCCCACACCAGTCTCCAGCAGCCTGCCTGCCCTCTCCCCTCATCTTCTCGGGTTCTAGGATTCTGTGCTCTCCAGACAGAAACTGCCTCTGGGACACCCTGGGCTGCACTGTCCCGCACAGGGTCTCAGGCCCTGCACAAGATGTCGATGGCGCTGGCCTGGTGGCCTCCCTGCTCCCGCCAGCCCAGGTCGTTCACACAGGGGGACCGGAGCAGCGTGCGCATCACCACTCAGTGGCGTTCTGCTCTGATGCTGCCTGGCTTTAACCGGGGGTCCCCACCCCCTGTGTGTCATTGCCAGGAGAAGGGCAGTGTGCGCTCAGCTGCCATTGTACTGCTTGGCAACGTGGTGAGCAGGGTGCAGGACCCCGACAAACCCTTCGTGCAGCAGGAAATCATCCACTGCTTGCTCCCCCTGCTGCTGCATCTTGAAGACCAGGAGGAGAGTGTGAAACTGGTAAGTGCCACGGTCATTATTGCCTGAAGAGCAAAGAGCCAGTATCTCCTGGGGCCCCCACTCCAGTCATCGCCAGAGCCCCTTGCCCAAGCAGAGTCTTCTCCTCCCTGCTTCACTCCATGCTGGAGCCAAGTGCCTCATCCATCCTCACAGCACACAGCACAATTGGGAAGAAAAGCCTTCTTCTGGGAAAGAGGTGGGGCATAGCGTAGCGGATCCGGGAGTACTGCTGCTGGCCCCGGCACGGCCCAGGGCCTGCGTCCCCCTGAAGTGCAGGGCCCCCCAAAGCACGGGGCCCTGGGCAACCACCCCAAACCATCCAAAGGACAGGACGGCTCTGGCTCTCTCCAGCCAACTCTCCCTTTCCTCTCCTCAGCACACTCCTGTGGAGAACAAATGACAGGAATCTCCACTGGCAGGAAAAGCAGGAGAACAAGGGACGGGGAAGGTTCCATGTCCCCCAGACTATCCCTCTCTCAGGGAGAACCCTCTTGGTCTCCTCTTCTCTTGCAGTCATGTAAACTGACGCTCTTCCGCTGCGCAGTGTTCCTCAGGTGGGCTCATTTGAAGACCCTCTCCCACAGCTTGGCCTGGGATGGCTCCTCACAGCTCTTGAAGTGTGTCTGGATCTGCTTGGTAGGTGAATTCCTTGTGCCTTGAGAGTGCTGAATGGGGACTTGAGGAAGACCTTTCTAACTCCACACCCTGAGTACCCATCCGCTTCGGTCGGGCTGCAGGACTCCGTTCCAGGCTCTCTGCTGGCTCATTTCAGCAGGAGTTACAATCCGTTCACATTGTTGACATTTTTCTCCACAATTCTCCGACCTTCAAACTTTTGTCTTTTCAAATGAAAGCTGAGGTTCTGGAGAACACAATAGGAACTTCAGAGGGGTGCTGCTCTGGTGTATGGGTTCATATTGGCGGTTGCCAGGGCCTGGCTATATGCATTGGCTTTCCTGGACTATTTGCTGTGGGAAGAACATGTCATTTGTATATTGTGCATTTCTTCCTTCTTTCTTCCTAGATGCAGAACAACGAGAGCCACATCCCCAAATTCCTGTTCCAGGCCTTACAGTACCTGGAAAGCTCACAGACAACAATAAGACATTCAGCAGCCCGATTCATTGGTAAGCAGAGCAAATTCACTTGATCTTTTCTCAATGCTTCCTTCAGAGCCCTTTTCTGGACGGCTGCTCTGTTCCCTCCAACAGCACCAGAATCCTAAAACGGGGTGTGTGTGTGTGTGTGCATGTGTGTGTGAATAAACATGTATTCCAAGATGAAGGGAGCAACTTAGCTGAATCGACTGCACCAACTTCCCCCGCCCACAACAATTCTTTGGCTGCGCCTAGGGGAAACCAGCAGGATGTGAATTCAATCTCCTTTGGAAATCAGCCTCTCAGTAACTTCTGGGCATCTGATGCTTTCTGGAATATGCTTTGTGGACAGATGTAAGGAATGTCTGGAATTTCCCAAAGGTGTCTTGGGAGAATGGCTGCATCATTAGCAGTTTTCAGGAAAGGATCTGAAAAGCCATGAGAGCCATTGTATTCATTGCAAAAAAAAGGAGTACTTGTCCCTTAAGACTAACCAATTTATTTGAGCATGAGCTTCATTTCCACGGTATGCATCCGATAAGTGAGCTGTAGCTCACGAAAGCTTATGCTCAAATGAATTGGTTAGTCGCTAAGGTGCCACAAGTCCTCCTTTTCTTTTTGCAAAGACAGACTAACACGGCTGTTACTCTGAAACCTGTCATTGTATTCATTGTTTGTCTAGGAAATACTATCCACCATTACTGTGATTTGTTGTCTGAAACAGTGAATGAAGATGGCATCTCCCGCCTGTATGAAGGTAAGGAAATACCTCTGTGTGTTTGGGCCTCTGTGGGAAGCACAGGGGTGCAGCACAGGGCCTGAACACAGCTTTGAATGTGTCCCTCTCAGTCTAAGGACAGCGTTGAAGGAAGAAGGATGGTCACGCCAGCTTTCATCGTGGTCCCACAATCTGTGTATGGGAGCAGGGGAATTCCATCCCAAGCTCCTAGTGTAGACATAGCCTTAGAGCTGTGTGGGGAGACTGTCTTCATCAAGGTCAGAAAGTCTCTAAAGGAAGGCCTGACCCAACTGAAAAGGGCTGTTGGTATTAAGGATGATGATGATGATGACGATTCCCCTCTGTAGGGAAAGATTCATCACCTGCCCTCCCTGGAATGGAGTGATTGCAGGCCAGGGACCTTCACTCCGAGATTGGTTATCAGCTCCTAGGAAATCCCATGAGGGCACATGGGTGACACTTTTCCCTGTGAGCTCTTCAGGAATGAAGGCACAGGGCCACAAAGGATTTCAGGAGACGTTAGGAGCCGAAATCCCTTTGTGGATCTCGGCCTAAATGTTGTATGGTTTAATGTGGCTGCCGCTGTCACTTTCCTGTTCCATCCAAAGAACAAGTGCCCCCAACCGTCTGTGTGTGCGGGTGTGTGGAGGAGTGTCTGCCAGCAGAGGGGGAAGTTAGGCAAGAATGGGGTCTCCTCTCTGTCCAGGGCTATTTTGGGAGGAGCAGAGTTGTTGTTCTTGTGCCCTTAGACTCTTGGGGAGCTAATAGCAGGGGGCAATGGCCATCGGAAGTGGAGGTTTCCTAGGTACCAGTCACATCAGCATCACGGGGTTTTCAACCCATTTCCTCTTGGTTTCAGCTTTTCACGAAGTGCCTTTGAAATCAGACAGGACCACGTGGTACATCCTCAACAGATATTATAAATGGTTGCAGAAGCTTGGAAATCTCGTGTCGGGTTCTGCATTTGACTAGGGAACCGGGACCGACACAGACGAGCTCTTTGTCCTGCTATGGTAAATACAACAGACGCTTCTCAACTTTTTGGTGTCCCTGGCCTCTGTTTGCCAGAAGCTGGGAATGCGGGACAGGGGACTGATGACTAGATGATTGCCTGTCCCTTCATTCCCTCTGGGGCACCTGGCATTGGCCACTGTCAGAAGACAGGATACTGGGCTAGATGGACCTTTGCTGTGGCCTTTCTTATGTCCTTATGTTTGGAACCGGGGCTGAACAACGAGGTGGATATCAGCAGATGACCCAAAATTATGTCGATTAGTCGGGCCTAGAGAAGACTTGGAAGAAGTTGAAAGGGATCTAAGAAAGCCATGTCACTGGGCAGCACCATGGCAGATGAAAACCAGCGCTGACCAAGGCAGGGCCATACACATGGAAAGCAGTGAGGTGAACGACTCCTCCATAGCGCTGGTGTCAGAGGCCAAAGCACGGCTGGTTGGGCCCAGTGGTTGGAGCAGTGGCTCTGGGGCCTCGTGCTCAGAGTGGTGGAGGCCGAGCCGAGGGGAGCCAAGGGTTGGAGCCGGAGTCAGGAGTCAAGAGCAGGATTGGAACAGGCTGGGGAATAGGGCAAGGGCCGGATTAACGATCCCCGGCCAATGGGAGCTGCGGGGAGGCAGAGCCTACAGGCAAGATCAGCCCCCGGGACAGAGGTTCCCGGTGTGGTGCTCGTCGTGGTGACGTGGCTGGCGGGGATGAGGAACGGCAGCGTGCGGAGCCTCCTCGCCCCCACCCCAGCCAGGCAGAGCCGGCCCGGCCGCAACGCAGCACGCAGGGGTTTAGTGGCTGCAGCCTGGGCCCCCCTTAGCCCTACTCCTTTCCTGAGTGCACCATTGCCCCACTTCTGCCCCATTCCCACACACTGGTACAGGGCAGAACCCCGGAGCTGATCTCTGAAATCTCTCTCACTAGAAGGAAGTCACTGCAAAGGCAGGACAACCCCACCTTTGGGCACCATGGAGGACATCTCATCCCACTGCACAGAGCCCTACATTCACACAGCTTCTCGCATGTGGTTCCCTCACTCATCAGAGCCAGGTGGAGAGAGGAGAAATTCTCCCAGACTCCCTTTTACCATTGCCAGCCCACAGGGTAGCAGAGGTTGCGGGGGGTTGGGTGCTCTCTTTAAGAAATGCCAGCTCTCAGGGAAGTTGCCAATGAGCATCAGCAAAGTGGGGTGGGGTTGTGCTGTGGAAAACTACCCTGCTTGAAGGTTTTGTTCTTCTCATTTGTGTTCCTGCCCTTTCTCCCTCTTCCAGACATCGAGAGGCCAACAGGAGCCAATTGAGCCCACCACTGATCCCATCTCTTGTGAGATGGCAAAGCAGCTTTGCATGGGAAGGAGGAGACAGAAGAGGCCGAGCAGCATGTGCCGGGCTGAACCAGCCACACAGAACCCCATAGTCTAGGTGGAGAAAGCCAAGCCCCTCCCCAGCCCTGCCGGACATGCTCCAACTGGAGCACCAGTGTGTAAGGGAGCAGCTCAGCTCACGCTAGGCAGACCGCTGAAAATGGAGGATGCACACTGTAGGCTCCAGTCCAGAAGTAGCTCAAGCCCCTGACTGCAGAGCTCTGAGGTGCCGAGACCCAGCCACGTCCCCGGGGGCCTGCAGACATGCAAGGGAGATCGGAGACTCTGGGAGTTTCCCACGCCGGGAACCCAGAGACCCCCAGCCCATGGCCTAGAGACATCTCCAAGGAAGTAACCTGGGTGAACTAGCCATTGTCATCCGCAGTGCTGGATCCCCACTGACTCAATGGCAAACACATTGGCCACGGACGAGGCCCTGGGCGAGGAGCCGGTGGAGTAACGAGGGCCTGGGTCCACCTGCCCTGGCTGCCATCCATCCTTTGGTGGCTGCCCACGTCCCCATTGACCCACTAGACTGCACAGCCCCAAGAGGAGGGGCAACCATCTTGCCTCTGAACTCTCAGCCAAACAGCCCTGCAGTGAAGGGCAGCTACACTGACTCCGGCCGTTGGGCCACACAGCATTGAGGGAGAGAGTAGCCATATTGTCCGTTGCTATCGGGCCACACGGGCGTAAGAGACAGGATAGACATATGGACTCTAAGCGTTGAGCCACACAGCCCCGACGGAGAGGAGGGCCGCACGGACTCTGGTCGCTGGGCCACACAGCCCCGACGGAGAGGGCGGCCGCACGGACTCTGGTCGCTGGGCCACACAGCCCCACGAGAGGAGACCGACGACTCTTCCTCCACACACCCCCCAGGCGGCCGCACGGACTCTGGTCGCTGGGCCACACAGCCCCGACGGAGAGGGCGGCCGCACGGACTCTGGTCGCTGGGCCACACAGCCCCGACGGAGGCCCGGACTCTGGTCGCTGGGCCACACGCCCCGACGGAGCGGGCGGCCGCACGGACTCTGGTCGCGGCCCACGCCCCGACGGAGCGGGCGGCCGCACGGACTCTGGTCGCTGGGCCACACAGCCCCGACGGAGCGGGCGGCCGCACGGACTCTGGTCGCTGGGCCACACAGCCCCGACGGAGCGGGCGGCCGCACGGACTCTGGTCGCTGGGCCACACAGCCCCGACGGAGAGGGCGGCCGCACGGACTCTGGTCGCTGGGCCACACAGCCCCGACGGAGCGGGCGGCCGCACGGACTCTGGTCGCTGGGCCACACAGCCCCGACGGAGCGGGCGGCCGACCCGGGAGGAGCGGAAGGCGGGCGGGCGGCGACGGATGGTGCGAAGGCGGGGACGACGGAGCGGGCGGCCGCACGGACTCTGGTCGCTGGGCCACACAGCCCCGACGGAGCGGGCGGCCGC